ATAGTCGAGATTGTAGCCCGATGGACGACTTTAGTTGATACCTAGTGTAACTTCTGTAGGGCTGATATAGAACATATCTATTCTTCTAGTGTGAATGGAAAGGCATCATATGGGGCAGTATCCTTGCACAACATAGGATTAGGCGTTCATTAGGAGGATGGAATAAGGAACTTCAATGGATGATTAGGATAACAAAAAGCAAAGATTTGGTGGCAATACTTATTGCGGAAATCAAGTGATCGAACAATAAAATCATTAGAATAAGAAAATAATTGGACATCAGATTTACGTGGTTCGATCGCAGTGACCTACGTCTATGGATAGAGCAGCACGAAATTTCACTATAGATCAAGCGATATTACGGGAATTACAACCACACTCGATTCACTCAAACACTTTAAGTGTTTCCCAAGCCTCAATTCCACCCAATAACGCACACAGTGTTTAATCCAACAATTTCTCAAAAAGTAATCTCTCAATTTTACGAAGAAATTATACACAAATCTTACTACAAGATTTAATTGACTTGAACATTAAATTATTGTTGTAATTGTATGAACAAAACCAATGCCAAGCGTTCGCATGAAAATGACACTTCAAATACCTCACGCACATAGGTGTTGCTTCAAGATTTCATTGACTGCACGAAGAACACACTGCCTTTCATCAACCACGGCGGCTTCTGTTTGTGTCTATTCTTGTTTCAAGCAAGCCAACCCTAAGTCAGAAGCTTTTGGAATATATATATATATATAAGCCACGTGTTGGTCGGTCGAAGATGAAGTCCATCCCGAGTCAAAATAAGAAACAAATCACTGGACTTTCTTTCTTTCCTTTTCTGCTTTTCGTGGACCGACTTGAAGTGGGAATTAATTTCCTTTTTTTTTCTTAATTGCTGACCAAAATTCAAACTCCAATATTCGGCAACATCCAATTCCAATAGGCTTTCCAAATTAAGGAAATCATATTCACTGAAATATGACTCGGATATCCGCATACAGTTTTAGATCAGAATTGTTCACGGGCTTAAACTCGAGACATATTTTAACAATCTCCATCCTAACTCGACGTTTGAGCGAAGTTACAGTCACTTTGTCGAATCTTCGTTACTACTCTCCCACAGCCCCCAATGGGCTCAATCGCCATAGACATCTTCCAACTCAAAGCCTCGCTTGAACTTCGCTATAATCGTGGATCTTATCAAAACACAAACTCCATATGCACCTTTAACTGCTCCATAAGAATTTTCTGATACAATCTCCTTAACCACAGAGAAAGCAAAACCATCATTATATCCATATCTGTCCGGAGATCGAATACGCATCTTGTCAATATCAGCAGTTACAGCAACTATAGGCTCTACAGGCTCCACATCGCTACAAGCATCATTTATGTCGATTATTTCGCTAGTACCGGCTATTTTAGGAATTTCTGGTTACAACTCTATCTCAAGCTGAACACTATTCAGATCCGTATGAACACTGCTACTAACACTCCTACCCAAAAATACTCTTTTACAGGCGACAACAAAGACTTTTACAACTGACAGGCGACAACAAAGACTCGTCAAACGTAACTTCTCTGCTAATAACATGTGAATTTAATTCCGGACACCACAACCCATAGCCCCGCTCACCTTGTGCGAAACCTAGGAATATGCACTTTCTTTTCTTTTCATCGAGCTTACTATCACTAACTCGAACATAACACGAGCAACCAAATATTTTAAGAACAGAATAATCAGCAACGTTACTTGACTACACATATACGTGAGTTCGACATCCAATCGTAGTTGATGGGGATCTATTGATCAGGTAGCTCGTTGTACCAAGTGCATCCGCCAAGAATCTCCTAGCCATACCAGCACTAGAGAGCATTTTATGGGCCTTCTCTAGTAATGTTCTGCTCATCAATTATGCAACATGTTGTGGTTCATTGGCACTAGTGCGTGTCTCACTATGCCTTTCTTCATGCATAATTTATTTAATAGCTCTGAGCAAGACTCCATACTACTATCAGCCCGTACATGCTTGATCGTTTTACTAGTCTCCTTTTCGATTAAAGCTCTCAACTGCATAATCCTGACAATATTATCAAACTTGTGCCTAAGCACAAACACCAACGTCTTTCTTGAGTAGTCATCAACAACTGTTAGATTCGCAACAACCTGCAAACATCTAAGTGAATCAATTATGCAATTTCCGTGATTTCTCTAATAGTCGTACTGAACTGCACTTTCCGCCATTGATCTAAATCACAGCACCTGCATACACTCAGTTCGTTAGCCACATAACTACATAGCAAATTTCTTTCACTTAGAACCTTCAGGCTTCTCTCTCTAATGTGCCCCAAACGCATATGCCATAATTCAGACTCTCGAACAGATGCACCCGACGTCTTTGCGGCAAATTCCGTCGCTGTCTCACCTTGAAGCTTATACAGGCCACTGTGCTTGATTCCTCTCAGTATCACCAAGGCACCTCGAATAATTTTCAGAACTCCATATTATGAAGAATACCGACACCTAGAAAGGCACTCAAGGAAATCAGATTTTTTTTCAACTCTGGAACATGCCTCACTTTAGTCAATGTTCACACAATATCATCATACATTTTGATTTTAACATTACCAACACCTACAACATTGAAGTTCGCGTTGTTCCCTAATTGCACTTTACTACTATCTGTGCACTGATAAGTAGTAAACCAGTTCTTATTTGGTGTAGCATGAAAAAAACAGCCAGAATCCATAATCCATCCGCCAAACAACTAATCATCAGTGACGGACAAGACAAATTAGCACTATCCGAATTACCATCTGCTATAGCTGCAACATGATCCGCAGACTCAACTCTAATTTCTTCACCCTTGTCATTTTTTAGCTTAAAACAATTCCTTCTAAGATGCCCTCTCTTACCACTACTCCAGCAGGCAATACCATTAGTCCTAAATTGACTACGTGTCTTCAAGTTTATACTAGTCCTGCTAACATGTGTACCAGTTCTTCCTTTTTTTTCATCTACTAATGCAGCAGATACATATTCACCAGATTCCCTTCTACAGATATCCTCACTCAAAATTAAATCTCGAATACCATCAAATATCAAATTTGTTCACCCCTAGCAGAGACGCCGTGGCAGGGCAGAGATGATGTGTGCTGGAGCTGCTGCTTGCTCGTCAGTTTGCAGCGATCAGCAGCTCCCATTATCGGTGCTGGACTGCAACGGTCAGGGAGTTGCAGGGTCATCGGGGTGGGGCGGATAAGAAACTCGAGTAAGCTGAAGCGCAGACCGGCTCGACGAGGACTGCTGCGTGAAGATGCAGGAGTGAAGGCGAGACGCCACGTGAGAGTTGGCCAGGCGTGGGGGTAGCGCGAGAAGGCGTGGCGGTGCAGCAGGACACGGCGGCATAGGATCTCAATGGGTGGCATCCGCCGTGGATAGAAAGAAACTGTTCCTCTTTGGCGTATTTTCTTTTTTGAGCGTGTGCCCCTTTGTATTGCCCACCGTATGAGTGTCTCTCTAATGTGTATAAACTCTCCTTCTTCTTTTTTTCATTCTCCTCCCCCTTTATTGGCGTTAATTTTTTTTTAAGATTTCAAACAATCACCATTTCTATTTGGATCAAAAAGATACATCAACCCTCTCACCTTAGGAAACTAAGATATCCCTTTCTGAATATCTCCACATAATTAAAATTTCAAGGATAATATTTCCTCCAAAATTTAATTAAATAATGCAATCTTTCCAAATCAAGCACTCCCCATGTACTTCCCATGTGAGATTTTCGGCCACCAAAGATCCTTACAGGGCTTAATCGAATTTTGTATTCTTGTGTGCTTAGTCCAAATAATTTAATTAAGCTCTGAGCCCTTGCTTAAGTCCATTACCTCTAGTCCAATTAGAATACAGTTTGGGTGGGCCTAGTTTGAATTAAAATGATCCTAATACACAAATGCAAATTAATAATATTTTTGTTTAAGGGTTCGGGTCAAATTCTAATTTTATTATGCAATGAATGACTAAATGGGGAGCCAAAATTTAGGTATTAACAGCCTTGATTAATCATTTCAATAGATTTTTCAATTCTAAATTGGACACGTATTTTGACATATAAAGATAATTTTGGAGTTATTTTTTCATTGGTGGAGGAAAGATCCTTAAATTTCTTGACGTACATACATAAAATTGTCTAAAATTTTATTTCAAAAATGCATTGAGATATAAAGAGAGTGATACAAATATTGCAAAATTAAGAAACAATTAAGTAAGTTACAATATCAAATTTTTAGCGAAGCGAAAATTTTGGTGTTGTTGTGATTGTTAAATCATTATCGTCCCGCAATAATTGGCGAGTTAATATTCTAGTAAATATAAAAAAGAGAAGGATTTTGGGCCCTCCCATGGAAAGTAGCTTCCATTAGCTACACCACGGTTGGGCTTCCTTTTGTTTTTCGTTTTTTTTTTTCATTTTCCGTGGTTTTGGTACCTTGTCTTCATCTTTTCTGTTCATTTTGCATGTTTCCTTCAAAAGCTACTATTCTATTGCGTGTCATATTCCTAAACGCACTACGTGGGATTAGCTAAATCATATGATATTAAAATTCGGTATGATATATATTCATTCCTTGCATTGCACGGGCCATAAGTCTAGTATACATTTAGTCCAAAAGACAAAATATGCCAATTTTGTGGTAATTGCACGTGATATGCTGAAATCGTTACGTGGAAAAAGTTGTCACAAAGAGGACTATAGCCTGTCTTATTCTCAATTCAAACTGGAAATACATAAATATGACTGGGGAAACAAATCCCTTTTTAAATATGGCATCATAATTAACATGGCTAGCAACACAGCTTAGAAGCAAGGCATCAATGTTTGCCATGACAACACTCGAACATGACAATGTTAGTCATTATTCTGTGACAATCGGCGCACTCCACGATCTCCGGAATGCATCCAACCATATTGGGGATGTAGAAACGGTGGCAAGTCGGGGGATCAAATACATTGTCGTAGCACTCTTTGAAAGCGGTCTCGAAGGCCATTCCCATCTCCTTCACGTTCTTCCTCCAAGTCTATTCGTACTTTGAACAGCACCTCCGATGCCGTGGCCAAAGAAGTATTCACGAGCACACGCGATCCGACACAAGCAATGGTGAATCCGCGATTCTTTTTGTAGTGGGTGTAAAGATTAAGAAGATCTCGCATTAAGGAATCATGAACATCTGCTTTTGTCTGCATCTTGGACAACATACAAATCTCTAGACGAGCGTAAAATGACTTGATCTCATTAGCATTGATGAATTCCATGGGGATACCATCCTTTCGGATTTTTTTTAAGCAATCCTCGATTTTTTGAACTGTGTCCCCGTCTTCCCCTCCATACAAGAAAAAGATGAGCTTCTCGTTTTTTATCTGATGTATCAAACATGAGAGGCAAAAAATGTCAATTAAAGTTTCGATTTATTGTGGTCAATCACACATTCTACTCCACCATAAAAGATTGTTTTTTTATCCTTGAAATTTAAGCTTAATTTTTGTTGGATTGATTAATGGAAGTAACACTTAATTATCGATAGTACATGTTAGCAAAATATGGGAGACACAGTACAGTCGCGATTTCGAAAGAATCAGGCAAAAATTCACTTACGAATTCTTGAATTTTGGGGAAGTCGCCTTTGAGCAAAAGCTCAAGCCAGTTGATCTCTTGCCTACTCCAGAGATTCCAACCGCTTGATTCCGTGAACGGGAAGGCTTCGAATCCCCAAACACGGATCATCGGCATTGCGTTCTTGTTCTCTACCTTCCCTTGCGGGTTCAAAACCACTGCAATACTGTCTTTCCTAAAATTCCACTCCTCCTTGACGATTCGGATAATGACATTGCTAATACTTTTAGGGTTGGATGGCGATAACCATGGCATCTGCTTTTGCTTTTCTGAGAATTGCGTTAGCGAGGCCGGAGTCACTTGCTCCAGGATAGGAATCCACACAATCTCATAGTTGCTCTCCTTGAAGCCACGTGCATTGTAGATATTGTTTAATTCTACCAGTTCATTGTTCTCTAACTTCAGATCTGAAATGAGCAGCAACATGCTTTTCCCACCCAACGCTGCTTCGATCGAGACCTGCTAGTACCACGATTGAGATCAAGTGCACGGGAAGTTAGGATCATGTTCATTTTCTTCTAATGTTGATGAAGATGAATTTGAAGAAACAAACAAAGAACTTCCTCAGAAGCCATATTTATGAATGCATGGAGGTGGTGCAAATTTCACAAAGTACTTATTTTTCTCTCAAAAAAGGCTTTTCTGGCGACTTAGAGTCTAACTTACTAAAGAGCTCGATTAAAATATATATAGCCATTAAGTGAATTAGTATAGAATTGGCATGATACCACCATGATATGTTACTGATCATAAATAGATGATAATGGGATTTCCTATTATCTAATTGACAAAAAAAAAGGAGCAAATTCATTCTGACAGCTAGACAACAGATTCGTTAAAAGATGAAGTTGGATTTAAGATGCGAAGCACACGGACATTATAAATATAATTACATAAAGCTAACATCCAGAGGAATGACTACAACTTCCAGAACTCTAAACACCAAGCACAGGGAAGCTAACCTTTGCCTTCTTGGGACCCAAACACAGTGGCTCTGGCTCACTCCGGATGTCAAACAAGGCCTTGATAAGCTCCACATTTTTCGTAGGGTTCACAAGAAGCTTCTTGAGCCTTTGATATTCTCTTATTTCCTCTGCACGATGAATTATTTGATCACACAATGCTACGAAGATTCTAGCTAGTGTAACCGATGAAGTTTGTAATAGTTGTTCCAAGGGGTTGAACAAAAATTAAACACCATCATTTATCTAGGTTGATAGAGATGAAAATAGTAGGCCTATTTGCTCGAAGATCATTCAGAATTTATCAGTCGTGTAAACTAATTTTTTAATTGATTTAATGCTCCAAACATTACTCATTGATTAGGTTAGGGAGCTTGGTTCATGCGTTAAACTAAAAGCGTTACTCATTGATTAGGACCCATTTACGTCGCAAAGAAGTCATATTATGTCCCTATATGTTATGTGCAATCTAATTAAGCTATATGCCATTGCATGATTCGTGAGAGATGATCGATGCAATCTATCAAGTAACCTAGATTAAGACCTAGATGAGATTACTCAAGTTTGTTTATATTAAACTTGTGCTGTTTGGCACTTGTTTCTGCTATGGACGCAAAAGGAACTCACCCTTCTTTTGCTCGAAATCTTTAAACTGTTTCTTGATAAAATTTTCCGTCATTCTGACTTTACGAGTGAATTTATCAAGATCTAGCGACTGTTGATACCTGCAATGCCAAAACATGCCAAAGAGAATGGAATTGGAATCACCCTTGTAGGTAAAAATGAAATCATGGGATTTAGGATCTCCAGAAGAAGAACAAGAACGTACTTATAGCTCATGTTGATGATGCTGGTGAACTGAACGGAGCAAACAAGAACGACGACAGTAATCTGACATGCGATGGTCGATACATTGATCGCTGTGCACAATTCTGGGATGTCCTTGCTATTGTGCTTGAAGTCCACGATGCATTTGGTCATGTTCAAGGCCATCTTGATCAGATCATTGAGCGTTAGAAACATTTGGTTTTTCCATGTTTCTAGCTTTTGGGTGATTGCAGGAAACCCCTTCAACACAGCCACCGAATTCAAAAGACTTCCTGATGGTTGACTTTGCGCAGCTTGCCAGAAATCAGCGTAGAACACCGCTAAAGCCGACAAAGTTACCACTGCCTTGGCGACCCATGAAAAGTGTGATAGCTCGCCAAACAGTGACTCCGTTGTTCGATGCACATCGTTAGTTTCAAGAGCCTTGCATGTGATCTGTCATTGTAGGCATAGTTTAACACGAAGTGTATTTTAAAATTCTAGACTCTGATTATATGCTTGATGGTAGATGCGTGGTCTTACTTGATATTCTTCTCACATGGAAGCCACGTAGTATATGCATGTAAATCATTTCATGTTAGAAGATAAATTACTTTGTCCTTTTGAGATTATTATATTCTCCGATGAGTTATATAAAGGTTGAAAATTGTTGGCACCTATTTTAATTTGCCCAAAATTAATTACACAAAATTTAGGAGTTAATTTTTTTTAATTCCTAAAATAAAAAAATTTTCTATTTAAATGCATTGCTGTCGCGACCTAAAAAAAATCGAGTTTTTGATTTTAGGTTAATGGATTACTAGATCAATTAAATTAACTAACCTAGCTCGAGTTCTCCCAAACTCTACCAAATTGTAACTTAGGTCCAATCGTGAAATGTGAATATTTTCAATAGGAGTCGCCACTAATCATTTAAGGTAGGTTGATTAGAAACCTAAATAAAATAGCGGGAGTACTATTTTATTTCTGCGAACCAGAAATTATAGATTCGGGGACTTGGTTACGCTAAATTCCCTAACGCCCTTTCGGTACCAATTTCAAGAAAAATATTCAATTTGACAATATTGATAAATCCTGACTTAGAGTTCAAAGGTGCAGAAATTTACTTTTTTTGATTTTTTACTTATTTAAATGAAAGCTAACCTATATGTAATGACGTGCAAAAATTGACATGCAATTAATGCAACCTAACATGCAAACTATATGTCATGCGACGACGTGACCTGTTTCTAATGACGGGCATATTATTTTTTTTTAATGAAATTCGGAATTAAAAATGCCAATTATCTAAACATGCAATTTCAAACTAAAGAAATTAACCTATTCTAGAGTAATATTTTTGGTATTTTTTTATCGAAATTCGAAATTAAAATCCAGTAAAAAACAATATAACCGCTAAATCTTACGAATTAAGTTTCGATCTGAAGCCTGACAGATCGATCCTAAAATTCGAAATACCCGCTATGGAAATAACTCTATCTAAAGCCTGATAGATAGATTTATTTCCACGTGTGCGGTTGCGGATTAGGAAATTTTCCTAATCGATCACATCTTGAAAAAATTTAGATATCTTAAATATCTTGGATATATTCAAAAGATTTTGAAAATTCTAAATTCTATCCAAATTTGAAAAGTAATAGATATCCAAGATTTCACAAAAAAAGGAAATAAAATCCTAATTGGAATAATGCTTATTATCCAAATATGCAAAATTAGATATCAATAAGCATAAATTAGGCAACAAAATATTCGAATCAAATCGGGATATGATAATTGCCTGATTTGCAGATTTCTTTCCTAATTTGAATATGTAGCGGATCGGGATTGCGGATCGGCGATGCGTCGGGAGAGGTGGCGCGACGTCGAGAACAGTGGCGGCTAGCGACGGTGACACGACGGGAACGGCGACGCGGCGGGCGTCTCTGGGCAGCGGCCAACAGGCGAGGACGGGCGGCTTTCCGGCGGCTGTGCAGCGAACAGCGGCGGCACAGGCGGTGGGCTAACGGCGGTGCGGGGAGCTCTCGGCCAGTGGCTTGTGGTGCGAGGCGGCGCTACGGCGCGGCGGCAGTGCGGCAGCTCTTCGGCGGGGCTGTGCGGCCCGAGCGGTGGCGACACGAGGCGGGCGGAGCAAGAACGTCCAGGCAGCGGTGGCACCGGCACGGCGATGGTGTGCGACGAGGCAGCGGCAGGCAGGCGTGCAGCGGCGGTGGCACACGGCGGGAGACGGCAGTGTGCGGCAGGAGGCAACGGCGCGCAGCGGTGGCACACGGTGGGAGACGGTAGCGCGCGGCGGAGGGCAGCGGCGCACGGCGGTGGCACGCGGCAAGGGCAGCCGCAGCGCGGGAGAGGACGGAGGCTTCGCCGGCGGGAGGTGGCGCGGCCCGGGCGTGCGGTGGGCGAGGCGGAGCGGCTCCGGCGTGGTGCGGCGGACGGTGGCGCGCGGCGCGGCGGCGCGGCGCGGCGGTGGTGCGGCGCAGCGGGCGGTCTCCTTCTCTTTCTCTCTCTCTCTCACTTTTCTCAAAATTCTCTCGTATATCTCTCTAAAAATCCGATCTGAAAAATTATCAGAACCCCCTTCTGATTATGACGCATAACCCTATATTTATATCGCAACCCTAGATTAATTAGCCGGGCTTTCTAGTCCTAATGGGCTTAGGCTTGGGCTTAGGCTTTAATTTTCATTTAATTCCAAATTGGCTAAATTAATTCGGGCTTTTATTCAATTAACTTGATGGGCTAACTTAAGCTCTAATTAAGACAACCGAGCCCTTTTGACGTGTGATTTTCGGCCCCCGTCTTTCGAGTGAGTCGAGTTTCGTTCGGTGCCCGATCTCGATTTACGTGATGAATTTTAAGCTCGCTTGCCACCGCCGATCCGATGTGGAATGCAGTTAATCTATATGATCCCAAACTATATGCTATGCCATTTTAATATTTTTGTTTAGGGGTTAAAATTTAATCCCTAATTTTCTATGCAATTAACCACTAAATGATGCGCCAAAATTTAGGTGTCAACAATTGCATATAGAAATTAGGCACATTTGTATTAATAGGGTTTATTAGAACTTTAAAAAAAAAAATTCGTGTTGGGCCGGGTCGACTTGGCCCTTTTCTTTTTCCTTTTCCCCACACGGGCCCCGGCCCTCTTCTTCTTTTCTTCCCCCCTCGCGGGCCCAGCCCGTTTTTCTTTTTTTTCCCTTTTTCTTCTCCCGCGCGAGCTGGGCTCGACCTAGCTCCCTTCTCCTCCTTCCTTCTCCCTCGCCTGCTGTCGCTCTCCTTCCCCTGTTCTAGCCGCAGAGTGACGAACGGCGGAGCAGCCCTGCGCCGTCCCTATCTGGCCAGAGCATGGCCGAAGGAGCACGCCAACAGGACTGGCATTAATGGCCAGTCCCGTCCTCCTCGAAAACCCGGCCGTCTCCCTTATCTCCTCCTTCCTCTCTTCCCCCCTTTGTCTCTCGGCTCTCCCTCACTGAACCGGTCCCCCCTCCCTGCACCGGCCTACAAATGGCCACAAAAGTCTTCAAGAGGCGTAGGCCGGTGCAGGCCGTCGTCAGCACACGCAAGAGCAGGTGAGACGCTTCGTCGTCGGCTATAAAAACCGGAGAGAGAGACTGAGAAGAGGTTGGCCATTAGAGAGAAAAATAGAGAGAGAGAACAAAGAGAGAAGAGAGAGAATAGAGAGAGAAAGAGAGCATACCGAGGTCATGCCAGAGCTAAAGGAGAACCAGCAGCGGTCATCGACGCCCCCAGACCAGCCGGAAGCCACCCATACGCGCCATCGACCGGTAAGCCCCCCCCCCCCGGCCGAGAAGCTCCTCTGTTTTCCCCTGTTTTTTGGCGTGGTCGGGCCGGGACTCGCGCCGGCCGTTTCGCACGAATCCCGGCCCATACCGTCGTCCCCTATGGTCTGTGTGTCACCGTCGAAGGTAAGGTAGGTCGCTGGAGTACACCGGATCCCCGAGGTAGGTCGAAAACCGTTTGTTTTGGTCACGCACGCCAAGTGTTCGACGAAATGCCTCAACGAGGCCGGTTTTGATTCAATCGCCGGCCGGCGAGCAGGCGGTCGGACGGCAACGTAGGCGGGTGGCGAAGCTTGGTGGTGATCCCTAGAGGCTGAATTTTGATCGGCGCCGTTCTGGGTCGGCCGGCGGAAGGCCAATTTTGGCTCCGCCGGCGCTCCCGCGTGTTTGTGCACGCGAGGTTGACCCGACCCGGGTCAACGCTCTGGGTCGAATCTGTTGACCCGGGTCGGCTCCAACCCGGATCAACTGACTCGACCTGGGTCAATGCCTTGGGTCGGATCCGTTGACCCGGGTCGGTTCCGACCGACCCGGGTCAATGCCGTGGGTCGGATCCGTTGACCCGGGTCCGCGACCCAACCCGGTTTCATATATTTTATTTTATTTTTTAAAAAAAAAATAATTAAAAAATTTTAAAAAAATTAAAAAAAATTTCCGTATTTTCCTTTTTTTTAAAAAAATTTCAATTTTTTTTTAATTATGTGGTATATCTGAGTGTTTTAATTTATTGTGGTATTATTATGCAATGTTGTTATAATTGTATAAATTGCTATGTTTAAATTAGATAAGCCTATAGGGTTATGCAGTAGTATTTTGCATGTTGTTACTGTTTTATTATTATTATGCATGTTTTTAATTAAAATATAATTGCATGAATTGTTGTATTTTGAATGTCATCTGACTTAGTTAGGACTAGAACCTAAGGCTGCATATCTATTTTGACTGCTGATCGTTTATGATTATGCACTCGCTTGATCACCTCACATGTTAGGAGAAAGGTCCTAAAATCAATCCAAATTGCCTGACAAATGTTTTCAAAAAATGAACAAGGTAAAAAGGTATCGAAAGGGCATTAGTTATCCAACTAGTGTAAACAAGTCCCCGAGCTCAGTTAATATCTTGTCCGTAGGAATAGGGTGATTCTCCCATCACCTTATTTGGGTTTCTAATCGACCCACTCCAAATCGATTAGTGGCGACTCCTTGATGTAAACCACTTGCATGTTAAAATATTTAAACCCTAAGTCGCGATATGGTATGGGCTTGGGAGAGCCCAAGTTAAGTCCCGAACCTAGACTTAGCAAGTACCAGGCGAAACCCCCTTTTTTGTCGTTTGATAAGAAAAGCGGGAGGTCGGTCGCGACAAAAATGTTGGTTATAAGTTGCATTTCGTCCACTCAGTTAGTTTCTTTATTTTTTTTCTGAGACAATGAGCCATGATCTTCCTTTTTTTCCCGTAATTTTCTATGATTTCAATTCTCTCATCAAGCAATCATATTTTTTTAGACTTTTCTTCTGTGCAAAATCAATTTCTATTTGATATACTCTTAAAATATAAAGTACATATCTAAAAATGAACTAAAGTAAATACATCCCTCATTATATGTATAATGAACTAAAATCAATTTCTATTACCTGACAGCACACTTCGTTGATAATGGATATCGGGGGAATAAAATGTTCTGTGGGAGGTGGGTATGCGTTTTTGATCTGTTGTGCCTCGGTGTCCTGCAAGAAATTACTCATGGTTAGATGTGCATAAGTAAAGCATATGTATCGAATATTTATTCTCCAGTGTCTCTCTAATGACAAAAAACTTCATGTTAGCTAGGGAAAATCGCTGCAAAAAACCCCACGATCCATGTTGTTAGGACCAATGTTAGGAGATATCTTTTCCTAATTGTGCAAAGTCAAGTGTGTAGTTCAACATGGTATCTTTGCACGTCGTAATCTATGTGTCTGTCAGTAGGGCATTCTTTGTGAACCATGGACCCAACCTCATGACTAAATTAAAATACTCTCTTGCAACCTTACCATATTGGGATTCAGAAAAGCATCGACGATCATAGTAGCTGCATTGAGGACATTCTCGACGAGGACAAACAGCGATCTGTCGTCGAAATCTTCTTCATTGGGTGCATGTGTTTTCAGTGCTGTGTTCATGAACTTGTCGTCGTCCAAGAGACCTACCAAGTCTCTTATCAAATTGTGGTCAGCCATTCCTGAATGAAGGGAGGCAAAAAAGAAACGACAAGAAGACTAAAGTTGAGAAAATTTAAGATTCTAGAGCTTAATATACAGAAGTAGACTGTATTGTCGTGCCAAGCTCAGGGTGAGTAACCTATTTATAGCACTCCTTTGGAAGAAGACAACGCATTATGAACTGGTAAGAAGTGAAAATTTATTATTTCTTTGAACTGTAACATTAGGGTTCAATGTGGAGGCCGACATAATGGTTTAATTACTAATTTGTAAGGACTTAAACTTCAGTTAGAACTAAGTTGACCTGGCATAAGATGACACGTTGGTTTATTATGGCATAAAATAGTTAAAGCACGCTTTAATTGACTAACTAGAGTAGGGGTTTTGTGACATCCCGAATTTCGGCCCATTTTTGGGGTTTTATAAAACGCGTAATTTGTCAGTGTGCTTATAGTAAAATCTCGCCCGAGAACTGATCACTCCCGGTTATCATTTTAAATTAGAGATTTCGCTAGAATCGCACTCGATCGAATTTGGCCGTTATTTAGAGCCCAAACTTTGGTGTCGAATTTCTCGGAGTTCCGGGACGAATTTAATTGGACGGTGTCGATATTATTGTGGCCGGGCGTCGCTATTGCCGAGGAATGTGTGAAAAGTGGATTTTTGACCGGGTGCGAATTTGGACTGGTAGACCTCCCTCGTGGTGTGTTTTGGCATATTTTATTTTGGCCATTTTCCTATATTATAATTAGGATTTTCGTGGACCGTGGGATAGTTTTCGGGTTCGAATCGTGACCGTTGGATCGCGATCATTGCTCTCTCTCTCTCTCTCTCTCTCTCTCTCTCTCTCTCTCTCTCTCTCTCTCTCTCTCTTCTCTCTCTCCTCCTGCGCTGCGCTGCATGTAGCGCCCATGCATGCGAGGCGTCCCTCTCCCTTCTTTTCCGCTCACGTCTCCTCCTTCTCTCTCTCTTCTTTTCTTTTCTTTTCTTTTTCTTTTATTCCTCTTCTTCTTCGTCTCTTCCGCCCCCGACTCCTGCTTCTTCCACTCTGGCTTCCTGCTTGCTGCTCGACCGCCAAAGCTCGTCCCCAGCCGGCCACCCGCCTGGCGCCACCGCCCCGCCAGCCGCCGCGCCGTTGACGCCACGACCCCCCCCACTCTCCTTCTCCTTCCCCTGTTTTCCTTCGCCGGACCGAACCCGCCCTTGCCCAACTCATCCCATCGCCGCGTCCGACGAGGCCAGGCTCCGCCGAGCCGCCGACTAGCTCGTCCGGCCTCGCCCCGCCGCCGTGCCGCCTCCGGCCGCCGTGCGACCATCCCCTTTCCCCTATTTCTCTCCTTCCCCGAGCTCCTTTTTCCCCCGTCCGGCTCCGCCTCATCCAGTCGCCGCGCGGCTAACCGTTCCGGCCGCCGCCCGGCTGCTCATCACGCCACTAGCTTCTCAGCCCTCGGCCCGCGCCCGGTCCCCTGCGCCCGCCTCGAGCTCCGCCCGGGTTCGCCCATGCGCCCAGCTCGGCCTTGGCCACTGGACCCCGCCCGATCATGGCCGAGCCTGCCGCTCGTCGCCGCCGCCAGCCCAGCCGGCCCGGCCGGCCGGCCAGCCATCGTCCCAGCCCAGCCGGCCCCTAGCACCGGCCCGGTCCCGGCCGCTTAGCCTAGCCGTGCCCGGCCGTGCCCGAGCTCGCCCCGGCGAGTCCCGACGTGCCCAACTCCTCTCGGCCGTGCGCCCGGCGTCGCTGCCCATTGGCCGGCTCGTCGCTCGTCCCGCTCGGCCCTTGGCCCGTTCCGTTCGGCCCGTCGCCCGTCGCCCGGCACATTGCCCGTTTCGCCGGCCCGTCGCCCGGCACGCCGCCCGTCCGCTCATAAGCGCGCCAGCACGTCGATCGGCCACCGCGCCGCGCACCGGGCACACCGTCCGGCCCACTGTGCCGCGTTGGCGGCCACACGCGCCAGCGCCCGGTCCGTCTTGTTCACCGGGCCATTTTGGGCCCGAGCCGACTTTTCCCGGGCCAAACTTAGGTAAGTGACTTCCTAAACCCTACCTAGTACTTTGGGTATTTTTAGACTTGTTTAGGATGTGATTAGTATCGGGTTAGGAATTAATTTAGGCGTGGGCTAATTAGATTGAGTGTGCTTAATTGGTGAATTATTGTGGCGATAATTGTGCGGTGATTTAGTGATTGGATCGAGATAAATATGCCCGACGAATTGTCGTGGCGCTTGTGGGTGAATTGGATTAATTGAATGTGCCGACTTGAATGTCGGGTCGGTGGGCCGATGTCGGGAGCATGAATTGAGTTGACTGATGTGGCGTGCTAGATTGACATTGGTGAATGGGTGGTGATTGAAATTGATTTATATGACTAAGAGCATGGTGAATTTTGTATTGTGGTGCATGTGCATGAGAAAAGCCCGGATCGATCGGAGGCTGAGCCTCGAGGCGTGTTTACGCGGGCTGTGAAAGGTGAGTTAGACCTGAGGCGTAGGTTACGCGGGTCATTGGAAAGGGAAAAATGTCCTGAGGCGTGGTTACGCGGGACTGAGCCCGGCTTGATCTGAGGGCTGCCAACCTGAGGCGTGGTTACGCGGGTGTAGCTAGAAAGGCAAGTAATGACCTGAGGCGTGGTTACGCGGGTCGAGAGAAATGTCCTGAGGCGTGGTTACGCGGGATTGAGCCCGGCTTGATCTGAGGGCTGCCAACCTGAGGCGTGGTTACGCAGGTGTGGCTAGAAAGGCAAGTAATGACCTGAGGCGTGGTTACGCGGGTCGAGAGAAATGTCCTGAGGCGTGGTTACGCGGGACCGAGCCCGGCTTGATCTAAGGGCTGAGCCTGAGGCGCAGTGGCGCGGGCTGTGAGATTGGGCCTGAGGCGCAGTGGCGCGGGCAGTGTGAAAGGACCTGGGAGGTCGTGGAAAGTTGTTCGGCCACGTATGCGAGTTGAGTGTGATTGAATTGATTGGAGTGGCTGATTGAATGTGTGATTGAATTGGTTGGATTGATTGAGTGCTAGTGTGGTTGGTGCTTGAGTGATTGTGATATGTTATTAGACTATTAATATTGCATTGTCACGTTTAACTAACGTGCAGAGCATGCGTTTGATGGCGAGGTAAGTACAATGACGTGAATTTTATATGTTGTGGGGTAGATTGCATGTACGACTTGTCCGGGTACGCATTGGCCTACGTGGGGTATAGGGGTTGCTTATTGAGACTCGTTCTCACGGTTATTATATAACCATTTCGGATCCGCGATCATGAGTGACTGGAGACGCCGTGCAAGGGTATCTCTGAGATCAAGTACGGGTCAAGTTGCCCCATATTTTTGTGTGCCCCTCTTTTGTATAGCGAAGTAGGATATCCAACCACTACTCCGTTTTACTGTTGTGTATTTGGAATTATTGTTTTGTGCTATCCCTTCGTCATATTTTACTGCCTGGGTTGTTTTATTTCGCTTCCGCTTGCGTAGTTCGTTTGGGTCGGCGACGCGTCCTGGGACGTCGCGTTCAATACGACCGTGGAAGGGGTGTCGCGAGCCCGTTGGGGTTCGGGGCGTGACATCCCTGTTGATTTGGTATCAGAGCAAGGTCAGCTCGATCCAAGTGGTCGAAACCTGGAGTGATAAGGAGCGATGACTTTGGGGTAGTCAGTTAGGGAGTCTTGTGTGTCATGCGTATCCCAGACTGTATGATTGTGATTGCTGAGTGGTTTTTATGCAATATTATGTGAGGTGCAGGTGCGTCAGGACTTGAGGTAAGTGCACGAACTCTGTTGGTTGTGATTGGTTGTCGGTTGTGATTGGCTGCCTGCTTAGTGAATTGTGTTGTGATTCACTGCCTAGGGCTTTAGACTGGTATAGTTGGCCTAGGTCTTTAATTCCCGAGGGGAATTATAGCAGGTAAGTGGGTGGTGTGAATCTTGTGAGTAAGAGTAGTCGAGGTCGAGGTCGAGGTTGAGGTTGTGTAGGTCCGCAAGTTGGAGTTGTGGGGGATTCCAGATGGGATGAGATTTTGAGGGCACTCGAGGAAGTTGGAGTTTTAATGGGAAGGCAGACTGAGCAGTAAAATGCGACTATTGCTACTAATGCTGAGGCCGCTGTTGTTGCCGCCAATGGAAATAACGGGAATGATGGGCATAATAGAAATGTTGGGAATCAAGGTCAAGGGCAAGTTAATGCAATCATAAAGATGCGTCAGCTGGTTGGAAAATATTTGAAATTGAAACCTCTGAAGTTCGATGGTAAATGTGACCCTGAGGCTACATTACTTTGGACAGAGGACTTAGAAAAAGGCTTTTGAGGTATTCGGGTGCACTGATGAGGAGAAAGTGACCCTGGCTATATATCAACTTTAAGGAAATGTAAATGATTGGTAAGAGGGCCCCGAAGTGGGATATTTCAGAGGGCATATTTCCAAGCTGGGGTGTCGTTATCGAGGCCTTCAATGGGAGGTACTTTCAGAGAGTGCGCGAGAACAGAAAATGACAGAGTTTCTTCGGCTTCGCTAAAATTGAATGTCAGTTGATCAGTATGAGATCGAGTTTGTAAGGTTGTCTAAGTACGCACCAAGGATAGTCAATGATCGTGTGGATAGAACAAGGAATTTCTGGGATGGATTGAAATCGGAACTTTGCAATCAGTTAGTACTCTTGTGTCTTAAGGGATTACAATGAGCTGTATGAGAGGGCTCGATAGTTGAAATGGATATGAGTGATAGGGCTGTCGCTTCTGGATCGTGGTACGCGCCGGTTAGGGACAATAAGAACTTGGGAAGAAGTCTATGACAGAGAATCGGAGATTTGTTCCTCTAGTAAGAAAGAACTTTGGGAAGTCAAACTACGACTCCAACGCCGCATGTCGGTCTTATGGAAAGAGGCATAGGAATGACTATTGCCAAGGTAGAAGTGGAGCATGTTGTGGATGTGGACAGTAAGGTCACCAAGTGAGAAATTGTTGAACCGATAGGTTAGGTTACTAATGCAATCGCAGCGACCGCAGGTAGGACATTAAGCGAGAGCTGCCTCG